AACCCATCAGTTCCACTGGGTATAAGCACAAACAAGTACAAGCATGTAACTGTTACCTCAAGCTCACCTCGAACAGATCCAGACAAATACCCCGTTAGGATGTGGACTGCCATTCTGGCTTTTTAATTGTAACAATGAACTCGCTTACCTAGTTTCTGCAATAAAAACTTTTGTTACAGCGAAGCTTATCCTTTACTTTCCTTTATTTTGCTGGATGAAATTTATGTTTTGAATTAGAAACTTCATGCACCCACCTAACACCCGGTATGGCATAAAACTTCCACCCGAGGAGGCATCCTAGTAGCTCGAGCGTATGTATAGAAAAGGGTGAAAGTTGAAATATGCAGGTCGCATACCAGAAAAATCACACCGTGATCTCCTTAATCAGGGGCAGCATGGAATCGTTGGGTAGTCATACTTCGACACTTTTTTGCGTTACCTGTGTCCAGTGACGTTCTGTGGAGCAGAAGTCTTTGAAAATTATGGACCAAAAAACCCCCGTTAAGCGTTATTTAAATAGACACGAGTTTGTCATTCACTAATCTTTGACTGGAAAAGATTTGCCAGACACAAATCTCTTTGGGGGAATAAAACTTACTCTACAAACAAGCAAGTTTCCCTATGCAAAACAGTAAATTAACGCCTAGCTTATCACTAGCAGAACGATGGTCGATTACCGAAATTTGCCCACAATTAATTTCTTTACTAACGTATTACCTGCTCACAGATGTCTTTCTATAAAGTTTCTTTTGAAGTAATGGTCTTTAAACAGTTAAAAAAAATGATTAGAACGCGCGAGCATGAATTGGTCGAAGCTTTTTAAATTCCAAGGCTTACTTTTCGGCTAATAAAATAGACTGTAAGTAAAAAGTGCAAGAGAAATAGCGAAAAATTACCCCTAGTCTAATCAAATCTTTTCTTGCAGTAAATATTAGGGAAACTGAGAATGTTTAGATCAAAGCTATGTTAATCGACCCTAATCAGTGCTTGAAGTCTTGCGTTTCCTGTTTTTATCTCTTCTATTGTACGAAATATATGTGAAAACCTTTAATATGAATCGGTATATTTCAAAGAGCTACCTCTGACAAAGACGAAGAATACAATTGACTGACAACATACAGAGCGGGGCCGGGACAGCTGATGCGTCAACTATGACTAATTACATTATTTGTTCTGTTTTATTTTAGGATTCAAAATAAGGGAAAGAGGGAGAAGTTAGGGCACGTATAGCAACCTGGTTTGTGTGATAAAACTTTTTGTGAGAATATCCAAGATGGTGATATTGACTAACTCACTCTCGTGATACAAAAAAAAACTACATCAAAAACCTTGAAGCCCGGGGGGGGGGGGGGTAATCCCATACTTTAGCTTTCCGGGTTTGTGCCGCCCAAAGGGGTCGTGATTTTAAAGCCCCTGTTTTAGAAATGGGTGTTTTTTTCAGAGGCGTTTTTTTGAAGGGGGTATAATTTTTCGAACGCGTCAAAATTCCTCTTTTTTAAGTACCCATTTTAAATTATTAAGGGAAAGGTTGCTTTTAAAAAAACGGCTCAACGCTGTAATAAGCAAACCTG